GTGATGTGGGTGGGCGTGATGTGGGTGGGCGTGATGTGGGTGGGCATGATGTGGGTGGGCATGGTGTGAGTGAAACAGGTTCCCTTTGATGTACACAATGTTATGCTCTGAATTGTCTTTATCTCAAAAAGTGGCTTTGGAAATTTGTAGTTCGTGTTAGATTGGGTTTGATGTACAGATTATCTGGAAATTCTTTTACCAGTAGCCAACTTTTTCATCATCATGCTTGCTATTTGAAAAGAACCGAAATTGAAGTGAATAAAGAGTAGGGAATTTACTGCAAAGTGCATCCCAGCTCTGTCGATGGCTGAATTGCTATCAACCTGACCTCCTGTTTCTTGGTATGTTATAGTCTGATGACGGAGTGGCGATTCACGCGAGGCATCGGGGAACAGACTAAATCGTTCCTGGATGGGTTCAACGAGGTAGTGCCCCTGCAGTGGCTGCAGTATTTTGACGAGAGGGAACTGGAGGTATGTCAGGTTACTGGGGCAGTATCGATTGGCGCATGGGGGGGAGTGCTAGTTCAACTGTTGGTTGCATGTTGTCAGAATGTTTGGATTTAGCACTGAAACAAAAAGTCTGGAATCTAACGAGGCTGAGAATGTTTGGAAATTGAAAATTCAAATTGAAGTCTGGAAGACCAGACATGATCGGGCAGCTTCCAAAGGATAATATCCCTGTCGCTAAATTTTGTGGGATCATGCCAGGTTTTTTACTCTGTTAGAATCTGACCCATTCAGCACTTCAGGGGAGCTTGAAAAGTATAATTACTTGTGTAAAAGGCATTAGTGCGAGAACCAGTTTGTGGACCGTCACATGCGTTTATGCCATTTGTTTGCACTGCACTACCTGGTTCAACATAAAATCGCACTTCGGTACTCAACAGGGAGTGTATAAAGAAAAGTTATATTAAACTATGAGTTATGCAAATATTTACAACTGTAAATTTGAGAGATTTTTGTTAGATGGGTTTGCTGTTCTCATTTCAATAATTTGGCAGCCCATAAAAGAGGGTTATGATAAGTTGTACTTAAGTCCAAGTTATCTGCAGAGTTGGCCGTTCTTTCTTTCAGACAGATGAAGTTTAGTCTGAAATATTTGATTTGCTGGCCAATCGCACTTCGCTCTAATTTGATTTTTTTTTTTGTCCTGCCGTCATCCAGTTGATGCTATGTGGCATGCAGGAGTTTGACGTGGAGGACTGGTACCGCAACACCATCTACCGCCACTACACGCGGGAGAGCAAACAGGTGCAGTGGTTCTGGCGCGCCGTGCGGGAGATGGACAACGAGAAGCGGGCCCGGCTGCTGCAGTTTGTCACCGGCACTTGCCGTCTGCCGGTCGGTGGGTTTGCTGAGCTCATGGGTGAGTCTGCAGCTCCCTGGCGTGGCTGCGTTCTCCGGACTGCCTCGGTTACCCCTCCGGGGTTCCCATGGTTGTGGAAACTCCTGCGTCCATCCCCAAATGTCAATATATTGA